GATTATACCTGGTAATGTAAACTCAGTTAACCCTAGGGTATGACGTGAAAGGTTTCAATCAATGGAATGATGCTCAGGTGTAGTTTGAATGCTTCATATTATCTGTTTAATAGCCTGTGCCAGTTCATTTGAATCAAGTTGTGCTTTTCTTTCAATTTCTGGACTTCATGCTTATGACCACATTCTGTTGTTGGGCTCTGATTTGAAATATAAAAAGCAAGACATCTAACTGCTTGGTTGAATTGGTTTATTCTTCATGTTTTGTCTGTTACTCTTCTGATTCTGTTCCTTAATTATTGAGGTATACTTTATTTCTTTTAAGATAAGCTTACTTTGAAGTTTGAATGATGTATGCTGAACTCATTTTTGGGTTGTTGCTGATAGGTTGAAAAAGCACATAATGCTGATCTCCACTGTGTTGATTGGAATCCCCATGACAGTAATCTTGTCCTGACTGGGTATGTTCTAAAATGTCATGTTTCATTAAGTCATATTTCATTATCTTAAAGCTTTACGATTCCAAACTTGATCCAAACATTAAGGATATTTGGGTCTCTTGAAAATCACCATCATAGCTTCTGTTTGGTTTGTGCTTCAGAAATTGCTAACTTTTTTTTTTTTATTTCTCTCTCTCTCCAGGTCAGCAGATCATACTGTCCGCCTGTTTGATCGACGGAATCTCACTTCTAATGGAGTTGGATCACCCATCCATAAATTTGAGGGTCACAATGCTGCTGTTCTTTGTGTACAGGTATGCTTTACCTCTAATAATGTATATTTTCCTGGTAAGTAGTTTTTTAAGTATACTAAATTCATTCATCTACTATCCAGTGGTCTCCAGACAAAGCATCTGTATTTGGAAGTTCTGCAGAGGATGGTCTCTTAAACATTTGGGATTATGATAAGGTGTGGTTACCTGATCTATCCTATCTTAGCCTTTTGTCTCTATATGCACATCGAATCCAACATGTTAAATCGTTCATTTCAATTCAACTCTTTGCTTGTTCTGCTTCTCAATGGTTTCCGATTCCTTGCTTTCCATTGTTGATTCTATGGTGGTGGTTTGTCATTCGTGGTTTTTACTTGAATGTGTTGTATATTAATGTTTCTGGGATGATATCCTTTGGAGCTACTTCATTGCAGGTTGGCAAAGAGCGTGCTGTGAGAAACCCAAGTCCTCCTCCTGGCTTGTTTTTCCAGCATGCTGGACACAGGTTTGTAACTATCTCATAGTATCAGAGTGCAAGATCCTTGTCTGTCATTTAGGATGTTGTTTTGTTATCCGTAGTTTTGTATAGCGGAATTCTTAATATAATAATGTTTCATTGTAAGTTTAATAAAATTTTTCTTACATATGTGTACAGTGAGAATTCATGATATAATTATTAAAGGTATTTGCTATTAGAATTAAATTTTCCTGGCATACATACACAATGAGAACTCCATACACCGCAAGCTAGACATTAATTGTTATTCAAAACCTATTAAATTAAACTCATTCCTGAATCCTTTTATTTCCGAATTGGTAGAATTTGTGTTATTTGGAACCCTTTTTATGCATTTATGTATCTAATCTAGCCAAAAGCTTATCGTTGGCTTGTGGAAACAATTTCAGTTTTTACTTCTCTTTCATTAGAACTGTTATTTGGTGTTAAATTATCTGTGTTTGTATTACTTCATCTTTGGACTTGTGAATTTCTGCGGTTTTGGATTCTGTTACTTTTATTGGTTTTCACTTTTTAATGTTAATTATATAGGGATAAAGTTGTTGACTTCCATTGGAATTCATCTGATCCATGGACAGTTGTGAGTGTTTCTGATGACTGTGATACTACTGGTGGAGGAGGCACATTGCAGGTATCAAATCAAATTATCTTCTCCTTGCACTTGTTCCTTGAAACAAATTTGATTTTGTCTTTCATCTTGTATTTTCATTCAAGTGAAGAAATAAAACCTGTCTTAATGTTCAATTTTGCTGCAGATATGGCGCATGAGCGATCTGATCTACAGGCCGGAAGAGGAGGTCTTGGCAGAGCTAGAGAAATTCAAATCCCATGTTATTTCATGTGCCTCTAAGCCTTAAAGAAACAAGCATTCTTAGTAAGAACCCAGAACTTAAGAGATTGTAGCTTTTTTCAGATAGGCTTTAGGATGAAGAAGATTTATATAATATAATTTTCCCATTTTGACTGATACAAGACTTCAGTAGGATAAAGATGTATGCGTCCTCATTTGGAAATGATGAAATGTTAGACTAGACTGCTTTTGATGCTACACGTTTTTCATGCTATAGTCGACTGGGGACACCACGTATGCTCCAGAAGCAGTATTTTTATGTGGCCCAACCAGATGCCTACATTTTGCCTTATTTAATGGTTGTTAAAACAGTTTGTATACTCACGTCTCCCTTCAATGGAAATGGAGTTAAAAAGAGGTTTTCGGTAAGAGCATATGACATGTAGGTAGGTAGTAGCTATGAGACAAACTCATCGTATAATTTAAATAGTAAAATAAGCTTTCCTAGTCAAAAGCACAAATCCAATGGCTTAGAATATGGCCAATAAGTTCCTCCTCTCAAGTCCT